TCCCGAAGTTCCTGTGCACGCATTCTACATTCATAGGAACATTCTGCATTAAACATACCAGAGGAGTTCCCATAAAAGTACCTCCATAGTATGAATTACATGATTGCTAAACTTTGAGTAAGAAACAATATTTGCTTCTTCAAAGTTTGATGTTTTCTTCCTCAAAGTTTCCTGAAAATGTCTTATCAAGGTAACAGGAGACATCTTCCATATGGCTGTGCACCCTTGAGGTATGGCTATATTATTTCTATCCTTGCCTTTTCTACTAACTTTTCTTACTGATATATTTATTGCTGTATGATTATTATTATCCTGTTGTTCTACATGTACACAGAAGTGGTTGGATTCATTTTTTTTTACTACCAGTTCTGTGGGCATGGCTTGGTGGGCATGGCAGAGGAAGGTTACTGCAAAATCTCCATTTCCTCCCCACTCCTGGGGGGAGATTACTGCAAAATCCCATTCCCTTCTTACCCCACTAACCTGCTTTTCAGCTCCATTCTCCAGTCCAGGGCAACAAAAGAAACCCAGCCAATTAGCTGGGAATCAGGAGGCAGAGAATAGACATGGCTGGGGCCAGTCAGAAGTGGTATTTGCTAGTTCTCTGAACTACTCAAAATTTCCACTACCAGTTCTCCAGAAGAGAGCTTCTGCATCAGAGACAAATTCTTTGTGTGGCTAACTAAATCGATTCTGTTCCATTCCATTCTCTTCCGTTCCATTCCATTTCTTTCCATTCTATTCTATTTTGTACAAAGATCAGGCCTGCACAAATCAACCCTAATTTGATTTGAATTAAGAACACAGAAGTCAAAGGGGCATCTACATGCCAATTAGAGCCAATTCAAGAACTGTTTCAAAAGAAAATGTATCCCCAGGCTTTAGTGGGGAAATTTCCAAATATGTGTGAATCTGTTCCATTTGGGGGGCAGGGTGCAATGAAAATGGGGAAATTAGACCTGTAAAAAAATGTTAATGCTGCCAAGTTTTATTTGAACGCTTTAAAAGGTCTTACTACAATGGAAAAAGCAGAGATGACTACAACAATACTAAGGAGCAGCTACAACCGCTTCCAAATTGTCTGGCAAAAAGCTCATAAAGAAGTTAAGTGAATCTGGGCAAGAAGTATCCTGCTTCAATTAAAAATATGAGCTTTGAAAAATAGCATTAAAAATAAGGTTTCCCCTTCTTTTTCTAGGGGTTTCAAAAGGACTGGCCATGGTGGTTGGCAAGTTTCATCCTTCCTAGGAAGAATCCCTCCTGTCCCCACTTCAGTGAGTGTTAGGCTGAGGATACACTGGGAAATTTTATGGATAGAATTAAAAAGTATATTCATTATCCTTATGGAGTGGTTAGCTATGATGCTTTTTCTGACTACAAGATTTTCTGGCATGCCAGGAAGATTGTTGGCATAACTGGTTGGCAAGCTGATGTCCCCTGAAAAAGAAAAAAAAATCTCGTCATCATTGGCAAGATTTGTTTGTCAAAGTTATTGCTTAGTGGCCATATTATTCATTAGAAATTTAGGAGAGGAAGTAGAAGCAGGAATAACACATTGGGATGGGATAGAACAGAAGTGTCAAACTCAGTTTCATTGAGGGCCAACTCAGGGTTATGGTTTGATCTCAGAGGGATGGGGAGGTAAGGGTGGCTGAGTGGGGGTGGGGGGCGTGCTCATGATGGATGTTTGACCCAGGCTCAAGATAAACTTTTCCTTTCTCTTCTTTCTTTCCACACTACTCCCTATGCTCCAAGCATTCTGCGGACCAAAAACAGGCCTCGTGGAGGCCCTGGGAGGCCCCCATGCAGCTCATTTTTGGCTGGCAGAGTGCTTCTGGAGGCCAGGGAGGCCAAAAACAGGCTGTGTGGGGGCCTCCTGGGACCTCTGTGCAGCCCATTTTGGGCCAGCAGATGCACCGTGGACCGGTCCTTTGATATTTCCAGGCTGGCCCCGCAGGCCAAATTTAAGCACCCCGTTGGCTGGATGCAGCCTGCGGGCCTTGAGTTTGATACTCCTGGGATAGAATATCACAGAGATAAGCAATCCTGAGAATTTGAGCCAGCAGTGTGTTAGCCTGATGTCCATTTCACTCATCGTCAAGGGATTTAAACCTATTCCAATCATGCAACATGAAGTATATTTAGAATATTGTGATTCCAGTTGGCTTGACAAAAAGCCAGCATACAACTGTAACATTCCATGAGTACAATGGAAAGAAAAGTAAGGGCATATGGCTAGATGTGCTGAAGAAGTTGATGTCTGAGGAAATGAATGGAGCGAAGTAACCTTAGTCTTGCCACCTGAAAAACAGCTCTGTTCAGCAAAGAATGTAGTGAAGTGATAACTCTTAATGGACAACTGATTACTTCAGTTTCAAAGAGGCTGCTGTAACATTCAAGAGCTCCTCACTAGTCTTCATATATGGAATTTAAGATGCAACTTTCTATTCTGCTGAAAGCAATAGAAAAGCTTTTGAATCTTCAAAATGCTTCAGGAGTCCTTGGATTACTGCTTTGAAGAAAGTCTTCATTTTGATTGACAGCTCTGCTTTAGTGAGGGGTTCTGATCAATGTTTCTTTCAAATAAACCAAACCAAACTTCCTAGAATGCAGCCTTCCCCAACTTGGCGCTCTTCAGATATATTAAAGTCTGCATGGCATGACAGTTGCAGGGATGATAAGAGTTGTTGGCTGAAGCTTCTGAAAGGCAGAAAACTGAATAGTTAATATACAGTAGATGAATACTCTCCACTTACATACTTACATGGCATAAATAACCAGGGCTCCTGGTAGTTTTTCTTATGAATGAAGGCAAATATACATGTACCATGATAATGTTGCAGGATCCAATTTGAGTCATTCACCAGAGGTTTAATCTTCCGAGCTTTTGGACTTTTGCTGCAGCCCATCCTTGGGGGACTTCTATCTGGGCTACTGTCTGAGTCATATTTATGTGTGCTTGGTTGGATGTGATTTCCTATTAGTTGCGTGGAGTGTTGATGGCTCCCATGCTGTTTTAGTTAAAAAGTTCCCTTTATTAGGAGTGCTAGCAGCCCCAGCCAAGAGTCAATCAGTCAGTCAGTCAGTCAGTCAGTCTCTCTCTCACTCTCACACTCTCTCTCTCCCCGCCCCCTCTCCAGGCTAACAAACTCTCTAAGTATCTATGCAAATCAAAGTTTGTTCCTTTTCCCCCTGAAATGGCCCCAACACACCTGGAGTCTCTCTCTCTCTCTACCCACACTCATAAAGGAAGTCCTAGAAGGTGCTCTCGCTCTTATCCAGCACACACACACGCTCAGGACGCACGCCTGCCTCTCAATGCCTCAGATTCCAAAAATGAATTTTGATTAAGTTCCCAACATGATTCAGAAGTTCCAAATATCAATGGCTGACCGGCAGGAAGATGAATAGTTGTCTGCCACACCTATTTGTCTCTGCCCCCGCCTTTTATTCCCAGAGTTGCGGGGGGTGGGGGGCGCTTAGTTAGTGGCAGTGGCTCTTCTGTCCTGAGGACTGCCCCATAGCTTCCCACTGCTCTCCTCTTCTCTGCCTTCTGCACATCTGCCCTGGACCCAGTTGTTCCTCCTTTTTCTCATCAGCCACCTCTGGACCTGGGGGCTGTTGCCTCTCCATCTAAGGACTGATAGACAGCCCAGGTTCCTCCTCTGTCTCTACCTCTGACAACTCCATTCCCTCTTCCCTCTCAGAATAGGTTGCCTTGATGTTGGCCCCAATTCCCACTCCACCTCCTCTGATTCAGCTGCTGGAGGGGGCTGTAGCCAACAGGCCACAACAAGCTGGCTATTGGCTGTTTTCTTGTGCTGCCAAGTCCTCAGCTCCTAAGTACTTGATAAGCTGGTGATAAATCAGCATTTCTGTTGACTGACAAGAGGCCCATTTCCCAGGCTTCAATCATTTCCCTGGTTATTTAAGAAATGTTTCTGTATATAGATTCTGATAATTGCACATGCCAGAAATTTGTTCTTGGGATATCACAGATAATATAATGGAATCCATTGCCATACATGAAGAAAGATTTCATGACAGAAATTAGGAATCAAGCATTTATTGAGTTTACATTCTTTCTGTCTTACTCGTGTTGACTCTGCCATCCTTGACTCTCCCACAAGAATATTCCCTCTGTTCTCCCACTCCTTCACCAATGAGAAAAGCACAAGATTGTGACATATAGATCTGCAGTACCACTTAACACAATACAAATACACGGGATGTCAAAATCGTTCCTCATGGGCCAATTTCACTGACTATCATACCCAATTCTTTTTAAAATGGAATTATACCTGAAGCCTTTGAATGGCCCCCTATGGAAGAAAAAAAAATGGAGTGTAGTTGAAATATGCTGCCTTGTGATTGTTGTGGTTGTTGTTTTAGGGTTTTATTTACTACACCAAAGTAATTTAAGTTTTGGTTTCTTTCCTGATGAAGGTGCGGACCTTATATTCCACTATGAACCATTGTTTCAAAATCTCTCCAGATATAATACAAAATATCTTATCTCTAGAGCTGACATGTTGACTTTGAGCTGCATTTATCACTCCTGTAACTCACTTTCATTTAATACGGGGTTCTATTATTAATGTCTACCCAGAGTCCTCCAAAGATAATATTTATGGAAGTTGATCTTTCTCTGGCTCTGCCCTGTTTCCAGGCTGTAAAGGATAGGCACCATATAGGTCTCATTAACAGTAATATGTTTGGCAGTTTGAAATGGATGGCCAAACCTCTTGGCTTTTTATAGCACCATGCTGATTTTAAAACAAGCCCTGTTTTCAAAGAGGACAAGATACATCAACTTTATGGAAACTCTGGAGCCTTGCCTTGCTCAACTGAATTTGTTGCATGTCAAATTCCACTATTTCGTGTTAGCAGGATATTTGCTTTTTTTAAAAAAAGAGAGACAAAAAAACAAAAGAATATCTCTTACCTTCCTCTTGTCATCTTGATTCTCATTTGCTTTTCTTTTTCTTTTTATTTTGCAGCCTGTGAACTCATGAACCATGGGATCCTGGCTCTGGTCAGCTCCATTGGTTGTACATCGGCAGGTTCCCTCCAGTCTCTGGCAGATGCCATGCACATTCCTCATCTCTTCATCCAGAGGTCAACAGCTGGGACCCCAAGGAGTGGCTGTGGTACTACCAGGAGTAACAGGAATGACGATTACACACTTTTTGTCCGCCCACCTGTCTACATCAATGATGTCATCTTGAGAGTGGTCACTGAATATGCCTGGCAGAAATTTATTATTTTCTATGACAACGAATATGGTGAGTATTTATACCAGACGTCTCCAACCTTGGCAACTTTAAGACTTGTGGATTTCAACTTCCAGAATTCTCCAGCCAACATAGCATAGCTGGCTGGAGAATTCTGGGAGTTGAAGTCCACAAGTCTTAAAGTTGCCAAGTTTGGGGACCCCTGATTTATATTGTCTCGGGTCTCTACCTAAGGAGTAAATTGCTGTTGTACAAGGGAGGTAATGCTATTAACCGCAATAGCATTAAAAGCTTTGAATTCTTCTTCTAGATTACCTTCTTCTCTAAGCATTCAGTGACAGCATTAGCATTTCATATAATCCTTAGTCTTTAAAAAGAAACAAAAGTTTTTTTAAAAAAAAAACCTACATCAACTTTGGTGGCTTTCCTTGATCATTCCTTTGAAAAATGCTCAGCTGAATAATTACAGATTCTTTTTAGTAGCATCAGTGATATGAACCCCTTCTACTTTATGCAAGGCAAAAAAACATGTGGAACTGACCACAGCCTGTTCTTTTAATTCAACATTAAAAGGACATTTGTGAAGTTGATATATAACTGATACAAGATTACCTTTGATTTACCTTGCATCTTGCCAACTTCCATAAAATGATGTTGGATGATGAAGAAATGGGAAAGAGTGTTTTTATTCTTGTGTAAGGTAGGCCACCATATATGTTTTTATACAAACAAATAGAATTGTGGCGCTCTATAGAAGCAGCAATTCTATAGTATGGAATTCCATATAATATAACAATCTTTGACTATATCTGCTGTCTAAGGCTACTGTACTATAGTAGACATCAAATGATTCCCAGAAATATTTCAAAAAGGAATCCAAGCAGAGGGCATCAAACTGATTTCCCGCTCCCCAAGTGTTGTATTTTTGTGGCTACATATCTTTGAGGTAGCCAAGTCAAGGCTGCTTGGATTCACCTAACAAATTGAGGTGAAGCAATTTTTCTCAATGAGTGGTTTTCATTGCCTCAAAGCATCAACAGGCAGTGCCAACAGCTTTTTCTGGCACTTAAAGGAAGCCAAACATGTCAACAGGAACTTCTGTTCAGGCACAAATCGCATTCAGAACTCTTTGTCAGATCTGAAAATGCCAAAGGAGGCCTCAGAAGTGAGACAAAGTGAAATATGGGGCCTTTTCATTATTAGAGCATATGTTGACCAAACCGTATGTGTTTTTTAACTGTTCTCTTCTTTTTACTGTGACAAAGGTTTCATGTAGCTAGTGAGTTCATATTCTTGTCTGAATTAATGGGAAGCTTAATTGTTGTATTAGGGCGCCTAATTGTTGCATTGTGCTAAGAATACCAAGACAGGGAATTCATCAATCTTCCTAGATGTGTTCATAGATTGCTTGACAATCTGGAAGGGTGTGGTAGCATGCTGACCTATCAGTTCCATATGTTTTGCTGCTTTAACTTTTGGGAATTCAGTTAGGTATGGTATGTGATGTAGCAGCACTGTAATTATTTATGAGTTTTGATCTGAGTGTTCTGATTAAGCTAGTTTTGGCCTGTTCAGTGTGAAGAGAGTTGTGATATTAAAGGATATAATGATTTCATTCTCTCTTAGTTCTTTTCCCCTTATGTAATAATAATGTTGAGCTGTTGAAGTATTTATAAGCCATCTATTGAGTGTCCAGGTTTCTTGACCATATTTTTTGGATCAGTTACATGTAGTACTCTCAGGTATCATTATAATACATTGGAAAAGGATTTCAGGTTTGTGTGTTTTTGGAATTCATACAAACATGGGATGGTAGGATCATTGCTTTTGATCTTCTGTTGTTCTTGTCATCAGATTTGTACTGAGAGTGTTCCTGATTTTGTTGTCTATTTTTTCAATAGGGTTAATGTTCACTGGAACAATGTTTTCTCTGTTAAAGAATTATTTTTGCATTTGTAGTATATTATATGTTGTCTGTTATGAGTATGGTGCACCATTGCATACTTCAAGGAAGGCAGGACTACCTTTTATTCAAAGATGAATTCATTGCCATGTAAACTCAACTAATAGGAGCATAAGTCTAATAGCAATAGCACTTAGACTTATATACAACTTCACAGTGCTTTACAGCCCCCTCTAAGTAGTTTACAGAGTCAGCCTATTGCCCCCAACAATCTGGGTCCTCATTTTACCCACCTAGGAAGGATGGAAAGCTGAGTCAACCTTGAGCCTGGTAAGATTTGAACTGCCAAATTACAGGCAGCCAGCAATCAGAAAAAATAGCCTGCAGTACTGCATTCTAACCAGTATGCCACCACAATTCCTAATATCAGGATTCCAGCAGTTATCCCAATTAAATCATGAGTCTCGAGCCAAACTTCCAAGATATATAAGTTACTGTATTCACAGCTCCAAGGATCTTGCCCACTTCCTTGAGTTTTATAGCTCTAATTCTTCTCAGATAACAATCCAGACTATGCCTCAATTACTAAAACAGGACCTGTACAAAGTCCAACTCTGGGCAAATCCATGCAATTTTATCATTAAATGCCTAAATTAACCATCACTGTGGTCCTTAAAATGTTCCATAAACTCTTTCATCCCTAGGAAGCAATAGGTTTCCTAAACAGAGCTGCCACCTGATATTCTGGAAACCGAAGGGTAGAACAATTTTGCTAGTCTTATTGCCCACAACACAATCCTTAGTACAGATAAACATGAGGCCTTTTTAAACAACTTATTCATAAAAATATACTTTCAAATTAGGAATGCCTGCCAATCTCAGATGCTACTTTGGTTCCTAATTCAGTCATTTGGAAAATAACACACCATTGAGATGTGACATCCTAGGTGTAAGGAGATACTGAGATGAAATAATCCATCTTTAAGAGCTTTTAGGACTCCATGCCTGCTTGGAGAATTGGGATTAGCAACAGCAGCCACTACTCGCTGAATAGCCAACATTCAATAAAGACCTCTACCAAGTTAATGCCAATTCTGAAATGAAACCATTCCTAGAAATCACTGCTGCAATTTAGGAGCATTTCTTTCCAAAAATATTATTAGCTGGGAGCGGAAAGATAAGCCATATAGAGTTATTCCTTGGTAGAAATATTCTTTCCATCTTGTTTTCAATCTTGCCTTTATTTTTTGTGGAACATTAAAAAAAAACCTTTTGGAAATACATGATTCATATAGTGATCTATGGCTTGTTTAACAACAATGCTTATTGCATAACCAATATTGACAAAGTGTGCCCCATATGCTAAATTATAAACAATTTTTTTGAAAGGTGTGAAATTATTCAATATACGAAACAAAAAGTAAGAAATCATCTTTTTACTGTCTGGGAGTAAAATCTCTCACCAATATTTTCAGGTTTATTTTCAAAAGTTTGGCATGACTTTCTTTCTGCTTCAAAGAAATATAAATTATTCTAATCTGAGCCTTTCCTAAATATAAATATCAACCATATTTTGAATCCCGTACTTCATATTCCCCATATTTGCTTTGTTGTACTAAAATTAGGCACCAGATACTTTCTTTTCATTGTTGCTGTTTGAACATGAATCTGCTTTTTCCATTAAAAATAAATAAATCATTTCTCCTATAATTCCATTTCTGCTGCATATTGCCTCACCAGTAACCCAGTCAATTTATTCCATTTAATTCAGTGCTCTTAGACAAGTACATAGGAAGACATTGTTATGTCTTATATGTAACACAAGTACACTTTTTCTCATTTTAACATTTTAAATTATTATTGTTATTACAGATTAACAGAGTTGGGCAGGACCTTGTAGGTCATCTAGTCCAACCCCTCCCCCCCAAGCAGAAGACCCTACACCATTTCTGATAAATGACAGACCATTCTCTTCTTGAAAGCTTCCAGAGATGAAGCTCCCACAACTTCCATTGTTTGATTGTTCTCACTACCAGAAAATTTCTCCTTATTACCAGGTTGAATCTCTCCTTAATCAGTTTCCATCCATTATTACTTGTCTGGCCTTCAGGTGCCTTAGAAAAAAGCTTGACCCCTTCCCTTCAAATATTGGAAGACTGCTATTTATGTCTCCCCTGGTCCTTCTCTTCACTAGACTAGCCATCCCCAGCTTCTGCAACCGTTCATCGTATGTTTTAGCCTCCAATCCCCTAATCATCCTTGTTGCTCTTCTCTGCATTTTTTCTAGAGTCTCAACGTCTTTTTTTATAGTGTGGTGACCAAAACTGGATTCACTATTCTGGGTGTGGTTTTACTAAGGCTTTACAGAGTGGTATTAGTACCTCACTTGATCTTGATAATATGATAATAATATTCATCTATTATTCCAGAGTTATCCCTCTGTCCTGTTCTGGGTTCAGAAAAAGACCTTCCTTTAATCGACATCTGCTCCTAGTTACCAAATAGATATACATATACATGGAGTTTTCTAGGCAGCATATACAAGTGGTTTGTTGTTGATTACTTTCCATTGGTTTTTTTTCCAGAATTCTAACAATGTTTCAAAAGAGCCACAGTACCTTTTTGTTCTCTCAACCAAATATTAAACACATGGGACAATCAAATTCTACTAGATGTTGCTGAATTGGTGAGAAATAGAGAGATAATACTTTAATAATAATTAATTAAAAAGAGATAATATAACAATTATGTTTAGGGATCATTGATTAAAATGTAACCCTTTCCCTCATATTATTTAATATGTCCATTTAAAATGAAATACTTAGCTCATATTATTGAAATCATGCCTTCCAGTATACTTACTCGCTAGAGGAAAGTAACTTTCTGAAATTTATAATAAATTTCACTACAACAAAACTTGGCTGGAATCCAGATAAATATCATGCTAATCTGAAAACCTAACATTGAACAAAGGCACCGTGCTCATTTACATATCCATTTATCAATGTCAAAGGTTTTAAGTTCAACACACTGGAATTGCATTTGACTTTTATCTTTGCTATCAATGATTGCATTTCATTAGAGGAATGATGGAGAATAATTTATATTTGGAATTATGCATTTCAGCAGGGCAAAGAGTTATTTGAAT